CTACTACTCCTCCTCCTCCTACTATTACTACTACTACTACTACTACTACTACTACTACGACGGCGACTGCTACTTCTATTGCAAGTACTACTAGTGCTAGTGTTACCACCAGTAAGTCTACGATTTCAGAACAAGTGCAGTATTATTGTTCCATGCTGGCATGTTTTGGCCAAAGCCTGTGAGTTGGTGCCTTGCAAGCAGCTGTGGTCTGATGTTCCATGGTTTTAAGATATTTGTTTGTCGTGAGGAGTTCGCTCACCATGACTTCCCCACGCTTATTTGCAGAATGGGTGTTGCCCGGCCGACGCCCCCACCAAGCTCACACTTTGCTGCCTTCGTTGTCCTTGTAATTGCTGTTGTTTCGTGGCTGCTGCTGCTGCTGCTGCTGCTGCTGCTGCTGCTGCTGCTTTCGCTATTCCGTTCAGCTTTTGCTTACTGTTGTTATTGTTTTGTTTTGCTATGTTTCTGGGCCTTTTGTGTTTGCGATGTGTCATATTCTGATGTGTTGTTGCTGCCAATGACATTGTTGGTGGTGCTGCTGATGTTTCTACCGATGTTGCCGTTAGGTGTGCTGCACCGGCGACTGAGGAACATGTTGCAGCCCATCCCGCGCGAGAGAAGCAGCTTGCCCGAACCTCAAGGGATCAAGCGCACGATGCAGGTGATGAGAAAAGATGTCGGTAAGCTTTGGTGGCTGGGGCTGATATTGATCGACCATAGCGTTGCCACTCTATAGGTAGATGCTTTGCTGCTCGGTTGGAGATGGTTGGTGAGTTTTGTGCTTGAAGTTCATGCGGGCGCACTGGTGGATGCCAAAATGTCACGGCGGCCTTGTTATCAATGGTGAAGAACGACGGCGTTTGATGCAGTACGCATCCACCCCCGCACATGAACTGGAAAATCTTGACACCGGTGTGAGATCTAGCAATCCGTGTCTAGGCATCATAGGATTGATAGAGCGAATTTGGGCGTGTGCTTGGAATATGTTGTAGTAGCATAGTAGTATAACACATTCGTAGAGGAGAGTCTGACTATTGTTATTCCCCAAACAGCTTTAGC